GACACAGAGTACGAGCTGTAGCTGCTCCTGCTCCGGCTGCCGCCTCCAAAGCCACCACCGATTGCAGAGCAGGAGCTAAAGCCCCTTCTGCTCCCCCCTCCGAAGCTCCTGCAGACAGACTGGCGAGACATGGCTGGTTATCCTCAAAAGAGCCAAGAATGGAGAAGCTGAAGAACTCGACGGGGTTGTGGGTGAGGAGGTGGGTGGAAGAAGGGAAGTCAGTCCCTCTGGCTGGAGGGCAGCGGACTCTCCCTTTTATGTGTTTTTGGAGGTGGGCTGGGTCTGCATGGGCGTGAAGGAGGAGACAGGTCCTGTCTTCATCAGCGTGGCGTGGCTAAAGATTTCCATCTCCAATTTGCCAAACATTGACCCTACCCAGAAACACACCCTCTAATGCAGGAGAAAAGGCAAAAAAGATCCTACTGGGGCTTCCAGCACTCCATGACTAAGGAATGCTACACCTTTTGGAGCTGCAAGAGCCTCCCTGGGATACACCAGGCATTTTTTTTCCACCTTTCATCCGCTGGGGTTGTTTCCCTGCTTGTGTTTATCTTTAAATCTCTCACTCCAAAGCCCCATTGCAGGCAGGCACTGCGGCTCATGCCAAGTTGTAGCCTGGCTTTCACAATTCCCAAAACACACCTAAGTTACACCCTAAGCCTTCTTTTTACTTGGAAAATTGCCTTTGGCTTGGAGAATTGAATTTCTCAATCTACAGCCAGGGCTCAGCAAATTGCATTTTGATGAGGCTCTGCAGCTTTTTGATAAATAAAACCTCACCGGTGACGAGACGCCGGTGTTGGCACTGGAAATTCATTTATTGTTGGACTAAAGCATGTCCCACTGTCTTCATGCCAAGATAATCTCAGCACTGGTGAGGAAACACCTATCCGGGAAACCTGTGTGGGATTTTCTAAAAGCTTCAGGACCATGAGGAGACACCAGGCACCGGTTGCTGTGGTGGGACGTGCAGGAAGATGGAGGGACAGCCCCGGGAGAGCAGTGGGAGGAGGGATCCCAAACCTTGCTGCCCACATCATATGCCCTGGAACAATTTAAATGCAATTAATAGAGCTCAACTCATTTATAGAGATGTGAAAATCCGGAGAGCACAGGGCTTGGAGGCATCACCATTCTTTTCAACTGTTTCACTTCTTTAGGTGTTTATATGCAAATATATCTCTGGCAGATGTAGATTTTAGAAAGGCGGGAGTTTGTCGGAATCCTCCATTTCCAATCCCTGACTGAGGATGGATTCAGACTGTGATCCATCACAGAATTCCAGAATGGTTTGGGTTGAAAAGGACCTTAAAGCCCACCTCATTCCTCTGCCTGTCATGGGCAGGGACACCTTCCACTATCCCAGGTGGCTCCAAGTCCCTGTCCAACCTGGCCTTGGACATTTCCAGGGATTGGGCATGCACCACCCTTCACAGGATCGTGGAATGATTCAGGCTGACTCTGTAAGTCAGTTAATCCAAAAATCCATCACAGATCCACCCTTTTGCCCTGCTTATCAAGCAATTAGTCTTATTTTCTTTTTTTTTAATAGAAAAAAGTAGAGTTCTTTACTACTTTTCAACATTTTAAAGCCACCTAGGCCATATTGAAGTCCAAACCCACACCTCTGGAGGCACCTAACTGTGCTGGCAGCCATCTGGTGCAGGTCTCGGAATTCTCACAGGACACATGTTAATTAAGAACTTCTGGAAAATCCACACCAGCAACTTCTGGTATCATCAGATGTTTAAATACCTCTAAAAATATCGCCCAGACACCCATTTCCAAAAGTGCCTTGGGACCTGGACGTGTAGCTAAACTGGCATTTCCACTGGAAAACATGGCATTCCCTGTGTTTATCCCACCTCCAGGATCTGTGTGGGTCTGGGAGGACTCGAGGAGGTGGATTAGGAGGGGTAGATAAGACTAATAAAAATGATGGAATCACAGAATTGTTAAGACTGGAAAAGACCTTCAAGATCACCAAGTCCTACTTTTGGGAAAGTAAATATATATAATATCAAAATCTCTCTGTGAGAGCAAAGGAAGGGAGGGGTTGGGGGTTGGACAGAAGTTTTTATAGGCAATAAATCAAAAAATAGACAAGAAATCAATACACAGACAATAAAAATGGGGGCTGAGGCACTGTCCCCCAGCAGCCCAGGCAAGACCCACCTCCCTCAGTGTTATCAAACCTCTGGTTATGCTTTCCTGGGGGATTTTTGTTGGGATTTTTTTCTCCTTCTTGTGGGCGGGATGACACGATCTGAAAGTTCTCCTGTTCCCAGGGGAGGAGAGTTCCCGAGTCAGCAAACGGCAGAGCCCCGAGCGCCCATGCAGAGATAACGCAGAGCGTTGAGTCACGGCCATGGCTCCAGCCAAGCTTAGGAAATCGAACTGGGATTTGGGCATTGATACCACCTCCTGGTTCAGACATGATGGGCAGGGCTGGAATGGTTTGGGTGAGAAAGGAGTGGAAAGATCATCCCATCCTACCCCTGCCATGAGCAGGGACACCTTCCAGTAGACTGCACTGCTCCAAGCCCTGTCCAGCCTGGACTTGGGCACTTCCAGGGATGCAGCAGCCATGGCTTTTCCAGAAAATCCATTCCAGGACCTCACCCCCCTCACAGGGAAGGAATTCCTTCCGGATATCCCATCTAATCCTGCTCTCTTCCAGCTGGAAACCATCATCCCTTAGCCCATCATTTCAGGCCAAGTCCCTCTACAGTTCTCCAGGAGCCCCCAGTGCAGGAAAATGACCTTCAGAGGTCACTTCCCACCCAAACTGTTCCATGATGCTGTGAAAATTAACAGGCCTTGAATAACTGAGAGGAAACCATGAAATCACAGAATCATGGAATGGTTTGGGCTGGAAAGGACCTTAAAGTTCCTCTTGGTCCATCCCCTGCAATGGGCAGGGACAAGCCCTGATGAATCCAATCCAATCCTATTTTCAGACCATGGAAAACATTGTCTCTCTTCCAACCATAGGCAGGAATTGTATCATCTCTGTGTCCGGCCTGGGATAATTTTTCCCGAATTGCTGGTGCAATCCCAGGAACAAAAAGGGAGGGATTTGCAAGTATGTTTGTTTTTGCGACAGCCTTTGTACTCCTGGAGAAGCCCTTTGTCTCTCCTCAGGCAGGAGTCACTGCTGGAAGCAAGTTTGGATTGAGGTGACTACGAGGGATTGGGGTGACTCTGAGGAAGTCAATGCCTTTTCATTCAACAGCACTTCAGGTCACTTTTACAATCCCTGAATGTTTAACCACTGCTCAAACCATGTCCCCACCCAAGCAGTGACAAGCCCATGCTGGCAGCATTGTGACATTCCATTGTGACATTCCGCCTGTCACTGCTGGTACTGGATGTCTTCAGCCTTTACCAGCTCAGAATGGAACATGGGAGAAGTGGGATGAGTCACCCCAAGCACAGTCTGTGGTTGGCCAGGGATGTGATTCAAGGTCTCCTGAGCAGGAGGTCAAACCACATCAGGAGTTTGGGGATCAAAATTTATCCAAATACTCTGCTTTTGAGGAGAGGGGGGTTGGATGGAGCAGGGGGAAAGGTCTTGCTCTTCCCATGGTCTCAGTTACCTTTTGGAGATGCCTTAAGAGCAATCCATGGATCCTCGATGAGTGCAGACAGTAAGCTGCAGGGCTGGTTCCAAAATAATGGATACCAAGGAATTAACTCCAAATTATTTGGAGGGGTGATGACTGCTCTTCCTTCTCCCACACCAACCATGGTAGGATGCTCCTAAAGCACCTGGAGTGCACACAAAGAGTGTCCTGGGAGCTCCAGCTGTGGCACTGCAGTCCTGGGGCCACCCCGGAAAACAGGGTAGGCAGTTGTGTGGTCAGGCACAGTGGCCAGGGAGAGGTGGGATAGCTGGGGAACATCCCAAATGGGCTAACTCCAGCATGGAAGGGGCTTAGGAGGAGAAGGAGGAAGGGAAGAGTCTCCTAAAATCCACTGAGTCTGAAAGTCTTCTCAGACCTGGTGGGGACAATGGTGGAACAACAATCTCTGCCACATCCAGAGATTCTGCAGGACACATCGGAGAATTCAGGGGCTGCCTCTTTCTGCCAGGAGTGGGCTCATTCCCAGGGCTGTCACCAAAGACACCCCCGACTGTGTCACTGACACTCTGCACCCAACATCCCTTCAGCCTCCCCAGCAAGACCCTCCTTACTCTGCAACACTCACAAACTTCCCACATTTCTGGAGACAGAGAGGGGTGAGAGGAGACCTGGTTGCCCCTTCACCTGAGTTCCTTTAATTCAGACTTCAAAGGGCAGGAGAAAATCAGGAAATGTTTTCAGATCTCATCAGAAGATGAGACTTGTTACAACATGAAACTCTTTGGTCGGGGAGAAAACCACACCAGGTTTCTGCCTCTCATGTTTATTGGGGGATGGCACATGCCAAGGAGAAAGGCTTAAGCAAACACACATGATTGTTCCCATAGTCCCAAGGAAAAGGTGAACCCTGAGTAAAAAATAAACATTTTACAACAGCAGGAGTGAAACTTGTGGGGAAAAAGCAAACTAAAAGTCAGTTGGGTGAGAAACATCTTCAGCCATGGCACCAGGAGGAAATTCCTGTTTTGGAGCTCGAGCTGAGGCTGATGAGTGACACTGATTACAGCTGCACCACAGCTGGATCCAGCACAAGAGCCTGAGAGAAGCCAAGGCTTCCCTGCACACTCGGAGCTGCGCTCGGATCCATCCCCGCTCCTGCCTGTCGTCGGGTGCCTCTTGCTTGGAGGGTGCTGGGCTCATCCCAGCCAGGTTTGGGGCTCCCCATGAACGGGCAGGTCCCGCTCCCGAAGGAGAGCTGGGCACCTTGATGCAGCTGGACGGGAGCACAAGGGATTGAGCTGTTCTCGGATGCTGTTGGGAATCTTAGTCCTTACCAGGTGGTCACTGGGGGGTCATTGTGCAATTCGCTGCCTTTCTCCTCTGGGTGCCAGGGTTGGGGGGTTGATCCTATTCCTATGCCCTCCTGCTGGTGGGGCTGCTGTTCTTCAGGATGGTGCTAGATCCCCCCACCACCACTGAGTTAGATCCCCCACCCAGGGAGCCAAATCCACCCCCGGCACCAAATCCACCCCCTCCCAGGCTGAAGCATAAACCAGCACCGCCCGTGTTGCAGCTGCCTTTCCCACTTCCAAAGCCAATTCCTCCTCCTCCAAGGCACAATCCGCTGCCATATCCACCTCCCACGGAGCTGCTGCCGCCCACCACAGCTGCAGAGAGGAACAAAAGGCATGAGGTTACCTCTGATGCCACCAAGAAGTTTGGGAGCATCAATCCCAGCCCACCACACTCCTGTGGGAACAGAACTTACAGATGCTGACGGAGCTCTGGCACTCTCCAGACATTCTGCAAGGAAACGAGATGGAGTGTCAGATCCAGCCAGAGCATCTGGAGTGGTCCAACTCCATGAAGTCAGGATTGGTCCACTGACACAGACACAGGACCATGGTCCATGGCTCATGACAACACCATTAATGTTTATGAAGATGATGGTACACATTTTTCCCATTGATTGGTCAGGATACGCTGGAATTCTTGCTGTATCCCACCCACCTGCACTCCTCGCCCTCCAGCAGCTTCCTGTAGGTTGCAATCTCCACGTCCAGGGCCAGTTTGACGTTCATGAGCTCCTGGTATTCCCGGAGCTGCCGGGCCAGGTCAGCCTTGGCTTTCTGCAGGGCTGTCTCCAGCTCGGCCAGTTTGTCCCTGGCGTCCTTGAGAGCCACCTCCCCGCGCTGCTCCGCATCCGCAATCGACGTCTGAATGGTCTCGCACTGGAGGGGACGAGTGGGGTGGGGGCAGCCAGTGAGAGATGAAGCCATAATCCCAGATCAGATAAACATGTAATGGTTTGGGTCAAACAGGACCTTAAAGATGATCTGGAGCATGTGCAGGGACACCTTCCACTATCCCAGCTTGCTCCAAGCCACGTCCTACCTGGCCTTGGACACTTCCATGGATGGAGCATCCATAACTTCTCTGGGCAACATGTGCCAGAGCCACTCAGGCTCAGCTATTCCCAGGTCCCTCCCACACCCAACAATTCCCACCACACTTATTTCCCTTCAGGGAAGTTCTGAAAGGCTCAAAAAAGGTCCTCCCCATTGGTCAAAAAACATAACTCTCACCTGCTTCTTCACACTCTCGATCTCAGCCCGGATCCTCTGGATCATGCGGTTGAGCTCTGAGATCTCGATCTTGGTGTCCTTGAGGCTGTCTCCATGCTTGCCCGCAGTGGCCTGCAGCTCCTCATACTGGTGGGATGAAGCAGGAGGAGCACATTGAGTCCACTGTGTCCTCACAGCTGCCCCCGCATCACCACAGGAGATGCAAGGAGAGCAAGTCTATGCCAGCTGCACTCTGGATGGACCAGCACCAGCAACATTCCAGATCTTGCCATGGCCTGAGCTGCCACCAGTAGCTCTCCCACCCCCTTGGACACTGGAGAACCCCAGCAGTGTGTGCTACCCTCACCTTGCTGCGGTACCAGGTCTCAGCCTCCAGCCGGCTCCGGTTGGCAATCTCCTCGTACTGCGCCTTCACCTCGGCGATGATGCTGTCCAGGTCCAGGCTCCGGTTGTTGTCCATGGACAGCACCACCGAGGTGTCGGACACAGTCTTCTGCATCTCGGACAGCTCCTGCAGGTGATGCCCAACTCGGATTTAGCCCTTCTGGAGCTTCCTTAGGGTGCCACAAGCCTCCCCCACCCCGGTGCCCCACAGTACTCACTGCCTCGTAAAGACACTTGAGGAAGTTGATCTCATCTGACAGAGAGTCCAGTTTTCCCTGGAGTTCCACCTTGGTCATGTAGGCTCCATCCACATCCTGCAGCAGAGATGGGATGAGAAAACCTGCTCAGCACACATCAGTTAATCTAAAATTTCATGGAATCATGGAATACTCTGGGTTGGAAGAGACTTTAAACGCAATTCCACCCCGTTCCATGGGCAGGGACACCTTCCACTCTCCCAGGCTGCTCCAAGCCCCATCCAACCCGGCCTGGGACACTTCCAGGGGTCAGGCAGCTACAGCTTCTGTTGTAAATCCATTCCAGGGTCTGCCCACCCTCACAGGGAAGAATTTCTGCCCAATATCCCATGTATCCCTGTCCTCTGGCAGTGAGAAGCCATTCCCTCTGTCCTGGCACTCCAGGCCATTGTCCGAAGTCCCTCTCCAGCTCTCCTGGAGCCCCTTTAGGTAATAAACAAGGACTTGACCTTCTTCAGGAGCACAAATTCGTTCTCAGCTGCCGTCCTTTTGTTTATCTCCTCCTCGTACCTGTGGATGGGAAGGAGGGAGATGGAATCTGGCTGCTTGTTTTGGCTCCGGCTCAGACTAGTGAACATTGTTGGCCTCAGACTCATAAACCCAGCAAAAATAGATCTGCCATGAGGGAGATTTATGGACAGGGAATTGCACTTCGCATTTCAGGACAAGCCCTGGCTCCTGCACTTCCAGCGCCTGGGTGAGAAAATCCTGGAAAGAGGAATTCTGGCTCTGCTAAAGGGAGTCCTGGTGATTGCGGCCACTCCAAGCTCCTTCCACGAGATCCAGGAACCTTCAGCTCCTCACAGGTATCATGGAATCTCCTGATTTGGAAGGAGCTTACAGAGATCATCAAGTTCAGCGCCTGGCCCTGCACAGGACACCCCAGAATCCCAAATGGACTCAAATTTTCCAGATGCTTGTCTCCAAATATAAAGTCAGTTTTCACCCTGCAGCCTCTGGTTGATCCCAGGTCTTGTGGATTCCCATGGTTCCCAGACTTCTTTGCCCACTGTTTTTTGTAATTCCTCAAGTGGATTCATTTCTCCAGTCTTTGTTCTCCTTTTTCCAACTGGACACATTTTGTGTTCATATTTATAGACTAAAATAAATTATATGTTATAATAAATAACAGCAGGACAATTGTCTTTACTTTTCCTTTTTTTTTTTTTTTTTTTTTTTTTTTTTTTTTCTTTTTTCCCTTTTTGGGACTTCACCCTTGGATTTTAGAATTAAATGGCAACTGGTAACAATAATTTTGTCAGCCTTCCACAGAAATCCTCAAATCCTGAATGATATTATGTGAAAGAATCATGAGGAAATCCATAAGGAAATTAGAGCTGGGTTTAGCAACCTATTAATTAACTAAATCATAATGTCACTGATTTTTAAGGAATTCCTTCTTGAGGAAGACAAATGTGGAAGATCCTCCTTCTGGAAGAAGCACAATTCGAGCAATATATTGAAAAAAGTTGAGAAATACCTTGAAAAAGCACCACTTTTCACCCAAACTCCCTTTTCCCAAAACATTTTACATTTTCTAACCATCAGGGGGAAAAATCAATATTGATAATTATTATCAATATTCCTCCTTTTTTGGCTGTTTGAAGTGAGTTTTTCTCTCTGATTATTCACCACCAGACACCCCAAGCAACCTACTTTGTCTTGAAGTCCTCCACCATGTCCTGGAAGTTCTTCAGCTCTGTGTCCAGCTGGAGCTTCTCACTGGAGAGAAAATCCAACTGCTTCCTCAGCCCACTGATGTAGGTCTCAAAGAAAGGGTCGAGGTTCCTGCCTCCCGGTCCTGTACCGCCCTGTTCCTGCAGCAGCTTCCACTTGGTCTCCAGGACTCGGTTCTGCTGCTCCAGGAACCGGACCTAAACAGGTGGGGAAAGAGTCAGATTCTCCCTTCAAAACCCCATATTTTTATTGATTTTTTTTCCCCATGTGCTTTCCATATTTTATTCCCATTTAATGTGTGATAACTCCCCAGTCCTACAGGACAGGTAGGACCACAGTGGATGGGGTGAGTGGGCAAAAGGGGGGTCATGTCCCCTTCCCAATTCTGGAGCCTCTGAACAGGAGAAATACAATGAACTTCATGGGTTTGGCATCTTCTTGTGCAAAATAGCCAAAAAAGTCCCAACATCTTCAAAATAGACCAAAACATCCAAAAAGTCCAATCACCTCCTTAAAAATAGCTTAAATCACTATGTATCCCATCTTCTCCTTAAAAATAGTCCAAAACACCCCAAATTCCAACATCTCTTAAAAATATTCCAAAAAAAAAATCCCACCTTCTGCTTTAAAATAGCTCAAGTCACCCAAAATCATGTCTTCTCCTTAAAAGTAGTCTAAAGCACCCAAATTCCCATTAAAAATCGCCCCAAACATCCAAAAAATTTTACCTGCTCCTTCGAAGTAGACCAATATTCCCCTTAAAATAACCAATTTTCCCCTTAAAAACAGCCCCAAACACCTCCAGTTTACAGTGATTTGGGCAACTGCAGCTCTGGGTGCCCCTGGGTGAGTGTCTCCTGGTCATTCCCACCCTCCAGAGCCAATCCTGGAGTGAAGCCCCTGCAAACCTTGTCGATGAAGGAGGCGAATTTGTCGTTGAGTTTCTTGATCTCCTCCCGCTCCTGTGTCCGAACCTTCTGGATCTCGGGGTCAATCTCCAGATTGAGGGGGGCCAGCAGGCTCTGGTTGATGGTCACCTCCCTGATGCCGCCCGGGGGGCATGGGGGGAAGCCCTGGCCCCCCATCCCACCATCAAATCCTCCACCAAAGCCGCCAAAGCCACCAGGGCCTCCACCAAAGAACCCTGCACCATAGCCACCCCCAAATCCTGCTCCGGCCCCAAAGCCAAAGCCTCCTTGGCCACCAAAGCCTCTGCAGGCACCACCAGCCCCCCCAAATCCTCCCAGGGAGGTGCTTTTACTGCCCCCCAGGGAATAGAGGCTCCTGCTGCTGAAGCCGCCGGCGCCCCCAGATCCCCGGCATCCTCCACGGGGCATGGAGCCAAACGTGACCTTGTTCTTGCCCCCGAAGCACACAGAGCTGGAGCTAAACCCCTTGCCAAGAGCACAGGACTGGCGAGACATGATGAAGGGTCCCCAAAATTCTGAGCAAAAAGCTGAGGCTGGAGCTTGAGAGGTGAGAGAAGCCAAGTCCTGTGGGAGCAGCTGCTGGTCCCCCTTTTTATGGGCACAGGGAGTTGGTTGGTGCCAGGGGGGAGTGGAGATGTCATTTTTTGGGGATTGTTTAATTCTCTTCATTGTTTCCAGGTTTGAAAGGACGCCCTCCTCACTTTGCCACAACCATGACCTGCCTGCAAACACTCCCCAGATAGCAAAGAAAAACAAAAGCATTGTTGGTGTTGGAGCTGAACTCCAACCCAAATTCCCTGGGCCGTGGCCAAAGCCCCGTGAACTCTCTGATGCATCACGCCCTCAAGGGAAACCCTTGTTTTAGCTAAATCTGTCATTTTCGGCCTGACTCCAGTGGCTGGGTTCACTGAATTCCAACAAAAACCCAGGCTCCCAGGCACACCCTCAGATGCACTCAGTTTCAACCTCCTGCTCCGAGGAGGGGTGACGTGGGTTGTCCAAAGTGTTTCACAACTGGGAGCATTAGTGTTGGGCAGGGTTCTAAAACTACTTTTATGTAAATAAGGATGATTTTAAAATCTTCTTAAACCTTCTGAAAGGGTTTTCAAGTCATTCTGGATCCCTCTGAGTGATGGGTTGAGCTGGGCGGGACACACTGGGATTTGCAGAGACTGAAATATCCCAATATATCTGTGTTGGGCCACACCCCAGCAGGGTCAAGACTGTTCCCTGACCCACAGCTTTGACAGGGGATCACATCCCTCCTCTGAGGAACCTTCCAGGTATTTTGAGGTGTTTCCTGAGGGTCTTTGTGGGTCTGCAGTCCCTCCACAGCATGTCAGCATGTGGTATTCAGCAAAGCCACTCCCAGCCTACCCCATTGTTAAAACAACACAATTTAATTGCTTAATTGCTTTAAATTTTATTTAAATGAGGTGTTGAGCTGCCTCCATTGAGGATCCCGGTTTATCCAACTGTTAAAACAAATAAAAAGCTTCAAAACTCCCTTCCAGCCTCACACCGCCAATAAAATCCAGCTCTGGATTATCCCATTCACTGGGAGAGGTTTGTGGAACCAGTTTCAGCTCCAAGACTGTTCACCCCAGCTTTTTTTTCACTGAAAATATGTAAATCTAGGTCTAGGTGCATGTCCTGGTGTTTCCACCTGAATCTTATTGGGGATTCCTGAAGCTCCAGGATTTTCAGCCCCAGGGAATTTGCAGTGCAGGGAACAGGGAAGTTGATGCTCCCCTTGGACAACACGCCTCCTGCACACCCCGGTCCCACCTGGAAATCCTCTCCTACCCTCCAGGGTTCCCCGGTTTTCCAGCTGGAGAAGAGGTTTGAACTGACGGAAGAAGGCGGAGGCTGCATCTCCTCACCTTACGCAACCGGCAGATCAGCCCCAAAACCAAATGAACCTGTTGGAGCCCGGGCGGAGAGCATTCCTGCCAGGAGTTCCCAGGGTGGCTCCAGCACCGGCTCCGGGCCCAGCTGCTGCCCCGCGGCCAGCCCAGCACTTGCCCGAGCAGCTGCTGGGCCAGCAAAGCCCTGCCCCGCCCTGCCACCAAGAGGTGAAGACACCTCACCGGGACACGGGATCAGTTCCCAAATCCCTCCTGAGCTCCAAGGTGGAGCACCTCAGACGCTCCAGCACTTCCGAGATGGGGATGCGTCAGAAGCAAAGCCAAGGGCCCAAGGCTGGCCACTGTCACCCAACCAGTGCTGGCCACCACCACCCACCCAGTGCTGGGCAACATCAGCAGCCAACACTGGCCACCACCACCCACCCAGTGCTGGCCACCATCACCCACCCAACACACTGGCACCCACCCATCCACGGAGGGCCATCCCCCACTCAGTGCTGGCCACCATCACCTACCCAACGCTGGACACCATCCTCTGCTCAGTCTTGGCCACCGTCACCCACCCCGCACCCCAGCATCCCAGCTTCCCTGTGCATCCCCTGGGAGCAGGGACCACCAGCACAGGTGCCCAGCAGTCCCAACCAGGGAAATGTCTAGCAGAACCAGAGCCCAAATACAGCTGTTTTCACCCCAAAACTGTGCTGGGGCTGGGTTCAACTGGGAAAACCTCAGATCCGGAAACTCCTGGCTGCTCCGTTGGCAGCCACCGAGCTGGGAAATTGCAGGGCTGGGAGCAGGAGTGGTGACGGCTGGAACAACAAGATGGATTCCCGGGAGATCAAAGCAGGTGTTGCAGAAGACGGGCGGCACCCTGGGACTGCCTAGAGCCCCGGGCGCCCTGGGATCCCTGGCGGGAGCAGAGCTGGCAGCCTGGAGCTCATGGCACCCCCCGATCCCAGGAGTCACAGCCCCCAGGGGTGGGCTGGCTCTCATTCCTGCTGTGGTGCCATTGGTGTCACCTCCCCTGCAGTGCCACTGCCCAGGGGTGGGACCCCATACCATGCCCAGCAACAGGGAAAGCTCATCTCAGCCCCAGCACTGGGAAACAGATCCCAGGGAAGGAGGATTGGGATCACCGGGGAGGCAGCCCCAGGAAGGAGCACCCACTTGGACTTGACAGCCCCCCATGATCCCCATGAGGGGCTGGGGACCCTTCTGGGGTCACAGGGTGGGGGTGGGCCCCAGGCAGGGGTAGGGCTGACCCTGGGGGTCCCACGGGAATCCATGTGAATATCCCTTGGGAATAAAGACCCACTGGACACCCAGGTCCCCCTGTTTCTTCCCACATGGGGGGCAAACAAGGACACCAAAATGAATTCAGTATTAAAAGTATCAGGGTGGGTGCTTAAGGTGGGGGGGATCCCATGTTTTTGAGGGAAAACCATTGGGACTGGGGGGGTTGGACCCAGTAGGTCCCCCAGGGGCAGCCTCACCCCCTCCCCAAATTCCTGGGGGTGGGAAACAGGTGGGCTGCACCCCAGGGTATCCCTGTATCCATCCCTCCCCCACCCTCCCTCCATCCCTCCCTCCCCAGACCCTTGGGATCCCAAATCCAGAACACCCTCTAAAGGGCCAGAACGTGCCCCAAAGCCCAACCAGGGTCCCAAAAATGAGACCACACCTCAAGGCACACCACCCCCCCAGGCCCCCTTCCTGGGGGCTCCCCAGCTCCTGGGGTCACTCCACATCTCACCCCAATTAAAAAAGCAACACTGACTCAAAATGTGCTGGGTCTGGGGGCACAGAGCCTCGGGGGGCTGTGGGGGAGCGGGAGGAGCTTTGGGGTGCCAGGAGGGGAGGAGTGCAGGGGTGTGCGTGTGAAAGTACCGAGAGTTCGGGCGGCTCCTCCCGACGCTAATTACAGAGGTTAATTGCCCCGACAGGCCCCAGCTTGTCACTGCACCCCAAAACCCCACCCGGGTGGCAGCCAAGGGACCAGCCCCCAATATGGGGCAGGGATACCCCACTGTGGGGCAGAGACCCCCCCAAAAACACTCTGGACACGTCAATGTGAGGAGGTGCCCACCTGAGCACCTGGATTTTGGGGGTCCCCTCCATGGAGAGGTGGGTTTTAGGGTGAGGAGCCCATTCAGGAAGTGCATCTGTCGGGGGGCTGAGCTTGGGGAGGGTCCCACAAAGACAGAGATGGGGTTGAGGATTCTCTGCTCCAGGAACATTTGGGGGGCAGGAAGTGTCTCTCCGAGCCCCCAGATTTTGGGGACCCCCCCCCATGGGGAGGTGGGATTTGAGGAGAAGGATCCCATTCAGGAGGTGGATTTCGGGGGTCTGAGCTTGGACAGACCCTCAGTGGTGGAAGTGGGGGTTCAGGTTCCCCAGCAGAAAAATCTGGGGGGGGGGGGGGGGGGGGGGGGGGGGGGGGGGGGGCACAAAGCCCCAAGCCCCGTGGGCCTGACCTCATCCTCAGACACAGGGGGACCCCCAAAGGGCAGGGTCCCCCACATTTCCTCCATCACCCCTCATGAGGCTCCAGAACCACCCCCAACAGTTCAGCACCCCCAAACCCCTCACCCCACTCCCCCCATCCCAAGAGGAACCCAGGTGACCCCAGAAGGAGCAGGGACACCCCAAAGCTGGGAAAACCCAAACCTCCTGAGCTCAACCCCAGCCCCAGACACCGGAGGACTCCGTTTCCCCCAGCACCCCAAACCCCTCAAAGGCCCCCAAAAGGAACCCAAAGGGACCCCAGTGTCCGGGTCCCCTCTCCCGGCTCCCTCTCCATGCCCCAAAAGGCTCAGGGACCCCCCAAACCTGGGGGCCCTCAAAGTGGGCCCTGCCGGGCGGGTGAGTCACGGCCCCACCCATGGGATGAGCTGGGTCAGGTCTCAGCCTGCCCCCCCCAGCTCTGGGGGGTGCCGAGGTCCCGGGCATGAACCCCCAGGGTGGCTTCGGGGTCAAATCCTGCGGGGGGAAGGGGTCCCCGAGATGTCCCCGTGCCTCAGTTTCCCTCCCCGGGCACCACCAGCACCCGCAGCTCCTGTGCTGGCAGCTTTGGGTCATGGGGGGATTAAAGCTCCTCCCCAGGACCCTGTGGGTGCCCCGGGACCCCCGAGGTCCCCCCGCAGTGTCCCAGCGGGGCGGGGTGAGACCCCCTGCCCCCAGAGACCCGCCCATGGCTGCCCCCGCCCCAATTCGGGGTGCCCCGCCGTGGGGAAGGGGGCGAAGCGAGCAGGGGATGCTGGCACTGCGGGGGTTTTGGGAGGGGTCCTCTCCCACCCCAGGAGTCCAGATGGCACTGAGGGTGACGCGGGGTGACATCCCGGGGGGTCCCACCGAGCTTGAGGGCTCCAGCTCCCCCCACAAACGATCCCTTCCTCAGTTTCCCTGCAGGGTCTCCGTGACCCCCCATTTCCAACCAGGAGGGTCCGTGGGGCTCAACCCCTCCAGAACCACCCAGATCCCCCCACACGCCCCGAGCCAAGACCCTGAGACCCCAGACCCCACCGCCCGGCCACACCCCCCGCAGTCCCCCGACCCCCCCCATGGGGGGGAAACCCCCATTCCCGACTCACCCCACCCGAAACTGGGGGGGCCCCAAATCCCGCCTCCCCCGCGGCTCCATTCCCGCTCCTCTGCCGCCCTCCAGCGTCCGCGAACCCCAAAATCACCGGGGCGGGAGGGCCGGGGGGGCTCTGTGGAGGAAACCTCGGGGGGTCCCCAAACTCCTCAACCTCCCCCCCAAAAAACCCTGTGAGCCCTCAGCTCCCCCCAAAAAAAAGTAGGGGGATCCCCCGGGGAGGACCCCGCCCCCCCCAAAAAAAAAACAAAACCGGATATAGGGTCAGGGGGGAGTTGGAATGGGGGGCAGGAAGGGGGTGCAGGGAGGTGACCCCAGTTTAACCCTCCTGGGGGGGGCACCTCTGATTCCACCCCCTTTTTTAGGGGGGGCTGTGTCAACACCCCCGCGAGCCAGCAGCCCCCGTCACCCCAAAGGCCCCCCAAAAGCTCAGGGCCCCCCCGAATCCCAGCTGCCCCCGAGGGCCCAACCCTCGGACTCCCCAAATTTGAGGGGCTCGCGGTGGCTCTGAGGGAGACCCCCCAGTTTGGGACCACCCCAACCCCCGCAAATGTGGGAAGGGTCCCCAAAACCCCTGGGGTGCGAACCGGGGAGCCCTGGGTGCTCCGTGTGCTGCGGGACTGCAGCGCCCCCCCAGCTCCTTAATTAATTAGTGAATTCATTAATTAACCCTCTGCTGGCACTAATTACGGGCACCCAGACCCACGCAGTCAGTGTGTTTTTATTTTAAAAACCCGCAACGCCCCCAGACCCTGCGGGCACTCCCACCCCCCAGCCCATGGAGAGACCCCCAAATCTGCTCCCAGCCCCAAACCCCCCTCCCCCCATCCCGGGCCGGGCCCCGTGGGGTTAATGATTAACGGGGGACAAAGTCCGCGGGCAGCGCCGATTTTGGGGGGGTCCGCCTTCCCCCCGTGGGCTCTGAGCCCCCCAAAACGGCTCCATGCCCCGTGCCCACCAACCCAAACACCCCGGGCAACACCCCGACACCCCCAAACCAACAGGGGGTGGCCGGGACCCCCAAACTAGGCTGCTGCCCCACCCCCGCCGCTCCAAAATGGGGGGGCCCGGAGGGCAGCCAGGGGTTTTGGGGTGCGGTGGCACCCCGACAGAAAAGGGGTGCCACCGCAAAAAGCCCCCCTGGAGAGGAACAGGCACCCCAAACCAAACCCTGGTACCCCTGGATTAGAGCCCAGGAAGGGACCCAGGCACCCCAAAATTGACTCTGATGTCCCAAAAGGGGTCCTGGCACCCCAAAACAAACCCTGGCATTCCAAAACAGACCCAGACACCCCAAAATGAGCTCTGACGCCCCAGGGCGGGTGCTTGTACCCCCAAACAAACCCAGGTACCCTGGAATTGGTTCTGGTCCCCCACAGGGTATCCGGGAACCCCAAAACCCAGGCACCCTGAGATGGGCCCCAGCACCCCCTGAGGGAACTGGCTACCCCCAAAAAGACCCTCCAAGATGGGTCCTGGAACCCCAGAAGGGACCTTGGCACCCCCAAAGCTGGGATGGGTCCTGGTATGCCAAAACGGTCCCAGGCAGCCCGGGATGGGCACAGGCACCCTAAAACTGGCCTGGGTATCCCAGAAAGGAGCCAGGCACCCCAAAACAGGGATTGCTGTCCCAAAACAAGTCCTGGCACCCCTGCAAGGGCCCCGACGCCCCAGGGGGACCCTCGTACCCCCAAACAGATATTGACAGCCCAGGATGGGTCCTGGCACCCCAAAACAAAGCCAGGCACCCACAGATGGGTTCTGGCACCCCGACACAGACCGGGCACCCCAAGACAGGTTCTGGCACCTGGGAGAGATCCAGGCAACCCAAAACAGTATTGGCACCCTGGGATGGGTCCTGGCACCCCAGGAAGGGAGCAGGGCACCCCAAGATTGGTCCTGGCAGCCACAGATGGGTCCTGGCAATCTAAAACAGATTCTAGGACCCCCAAACAGACCCAGAGACCCCAAAACTGATCTGGGAACACCAAGACTGGTCCCAGTCCCCCGAGAAAGATTCAGGAAGCCCAAAACAGCACCAGGGATCCCAAAATGGATCCTGTCACACCCAGACTGATCCGAGCACCCCAAGATCGCCCTGGCACCCCAAAACAGCCCAGGCAGCCTGGGATGAGCCCTCCCACACACCCTCCCCCCGCCAATTATCAACACTCCCGAATTTCCAAAGTTTTATTCCAGCAGCAAGCGAAACACCCAGGGGAGGCCCAGACCCCCCAGTGCCCACCCCCCAGTCCGAGAGGGGACAATGGGGGGGTTGGAGCCCCCCGGGGGAGACTGGCACTGGCACTGGCTCAGGTTGTCAGCAGAGGGTGCCTGGTGTCCTGTCGGGAGCTGGGGACCCCCAGGGAAGGGGGCCAGGATGGAGGGGGAACACACCAAGGGGGGGGCTCAGCAGGTCAGGACATGGGGGACCCCCACGGGAATGGGGGAACCCTCCAGGAAGGGAATGGGCTCAGCTGGCCTGGACAAGGGGGATCCCCCCTAAAGATCCCCCCAGGACATGGACAGGAACCCCCAGGGGACTCTGGGGGCTCAGGTGGCCTGGACTTGGGGGGACCCCCCCGGGCAGGAAAGAGGGGACTTGGGGGGGGCTCAGAATGTCAGGACATGGGGGACCCCCCCCCCGCCTCAGAAAAGGGGGTTCAGCTGGGCTGAACATGAGGGACCCCCCAAGACACAGAGTGACTCCCAGGAAAGGGGGAGGGCTCAGCTGGGCTGGACATGGGGGCCCCCTCTCAGGAAAGGGGGTTCACCTGGCCAGGACTTAGGGGGACACCCTGGGAGGGCAGGGAACATGGGGGACCCCCCTGGGAAAGGGGACACCCCAGAAAGGGGGGCCCAGGGGGGCTCAGCAGGTCAGGATTCAGGGTCTGCTCAGGAAAGAGGGGGGCTCACTCAGCTGGCCGGGCCAAAGAATGGGGGTCCCCCAAGAAAGGGGGTTCAGCTTTCCAGGACGTCGGAGGACTCAGACACGAGTTTCCCGTCACGGGTCTCGATCTTCTTGATGACGATGGCACGGGATTTGAGGGGGGCCGTGCTCTCGGGGGGCGGAGGTGGCACCGAGTACCCTGAGCTGACCACGGCCCCCCCAAATCCCCCCACAAATCCCGCCCCAAAACCTCCCCCGAGTCCACCTGTGGGGAAGAGGGAGCAGCTGTGAGGAGGGGCACATGGGGGGGGCCACCCAAAATCAGAGGGCTCCGGGGACACCCCAAACTCACCCAGGTACCCCGAAGGCTTGGTGTGGATGCTCAGGTTCTGCACAGCAGCCTCGAGCCTGGGGGGGTTTGGGGGGTCCCCCAAACAGGATCAGTGATGGGGTGGGGGATAAAGGACATGGAATAGGGGGAAATCTGGTGGGGAGGGGGGAGTGTCTCCCAAAATTCCCTAAACAGGAGCAGTGATTGGGGGGGGCGGTATTTAAGGGACATGGCTGAAGTGAGGGGGGTTGGAGGGGGTCCCCCAAACTGAGTGTTTTTGAGGGAGAGGAATAAGGGACATGGTCAAGTGGGGGGGATTTGAGACGTTCATGGGATATGAGACATTGGGCATGGAATGTCCATGGGATATGGGATGCCCACAGGGTATGGGATGGGGGACATGGGATACCCACAGGGTATGGGATGGGGGATATGGAATGTCCATGGGATATGGGATACCCACAGGGTATGGGATGGGGGATATGGAATGTCCATGGGATATGGGATACCCACAGGGTATGGGATGGGGGATATGGAATGTCCATGGGATATGGGATACCCACAGGGTATGGGATGGGGGATATGGAATGTCCATGGGATATGGGATACCCACAGGCTGTGGGATGCGGGATATGGGATACCCACAGGGTGTGGGATGGGGAATATGGTGGGATATGGGATAACCACAGGGCATGGGATGAGGATGTGGGATGTCCATGGGATATGGGATACCCATAGGGTGTGGGATGGGGGATATTGGGATGTCCATGGGATATGGGGTATGGAACGTGGGATGCTCATGGAATATGGGATCCTTGCAGCACATGGGGCATGGAACATGGGATGTTCATGGTGTCCAGGATGAAGGGCATGGTAAATGGGGTGCCCGTGGGATACGGGATGGAGCATGGGACACGGGGTGTGAGATATGGATGCCCAGAGGTTATGGGATGTGGAATGTCAGTGGGATCTGGGATCTGGGATTTGGGATCGGGGCTTCCCACCTGCTCTCCTCGCCCTCCAGCAGCTTCCTGTATGTCGCGATCTCAATGTCCAGGGCCAGCTTGACGTTCATGAGCTCCTGGTACTCCCGGAGCTGCCGGGCCAGGTCCTGCTTGGCCTGGGCCAGGGCCCCCTCCAGCCCCGCCAGCTTGGCCCGGGCATCCCTCAGTGCCAGCTCCCCGCGCTCCTCGGCCTCGGCCACGGCCGTCTCCAGCCCAGAGCGCTGCAGGACGGGACACTGAGCCCAGGATCCCCCCGGACCGGTGTCCCCGTGACCCAAAATCCCCAGTACCCCAACATCCCTTGCCCCCTCAGTGTCCCCATGTCCCAGTAAACCCAGTGTCCCAGCATTCCATGTCCTATCATTCCTCACTCCCCAGTATCCCTCATATCCCACTACCTCTCACCCCCCTCTTCCCACCAGTATTCCCAGTCCCCCAAATCCCCCCCTGTCTCCGAGCCATCGCTCTCTCCTCCCGTTTCCCAGATGACAAGGGATTCCCCCCCCAAGGGATCCTCAGGAATCCAGTGTGGGGGTTCCCAGGGGGTGCTGGGGGATGTGTGGGGGAGGCGCAGGCAGCATGCTTCCAAATTTCCATCCAAGTTGGACCCCAACCTGATTTTTCAGAGCCTCAATCTCTGCCTGGATCCGCTGGATCCGCCGGTTCAGCTCCTGGATCTGGCTCCGGGTCTGGCGCAGGTCGTCTCCCTGCTTCCCAGCCGCCGTCTTCAGCTCTTCATACTGGACACACCAGACAGGGGTGGCAATGTGGGGCATCCCCCAAACCTACCCGTGCCCCAAAACTGGTAGGAAAAAGCTGGGATGTGGCCAAACTTGGGGGGATAGTCCAGGGTGGGATGCGGTAGGTCCAGCTGGGTTTGGGGCTGGGATCTTGGGGGGATGGAGATAGGAGAGCCCCCTTTTTCACCAGCACCCCAAAAACTGGGAGGGAAGAGCTGGGATGCAGTGGAGGCAGGAGGGATGCCCTGACAGGGATGTGGTAGCTCCAGTTGGAATCTGGTGAGTCCAGCTGGGTTTGGAACCGGGATCTTGGAGGAATGGAGACTGGGGGGACCCTTCTTTTCCCCCAGCACCCCAACATTTGGGATGGAAGACCTGGGATTTGCCTGTATCAAGAAGGATGTTCCAGTTGGGATCTGGGATCTCAGGGGGATGGAGAGGAGAGGACCCCTCTTCCCCAGCACAGCAAAACCAGGGAGGAAAGAGCTGGGATGTGGCCACACCAAGAGGGATGCTCCAGCTGGGATGCCATGGGTCCAGTTGGAGTCAGGGTCTTGGTGGGATGGGGAGGGGGGAACCTCACTTTTCTACCAGCACCATAAAAATCCAGAGGAAAGAGCCGGGATGCAGCGCTGCTGGGAGGGCTGATCCAGCTGGGATATGGCGGCTCCCATTGGGATGTGATGGGTCTGGTTGGGCTTGAATCTGGGATCCCAGTGGGATGAGGCCCCCACTTTCCACCAGCATCCCAAAACGGGGTATGAAAGAGCCTGGGAAGTACTGGCACTGGGATCTGCACCAGGAATGGAGACGGGGGCCCCTCCCTGCCCCGCGGCGCCCCCAGACTGGGGTGAGCCCACGCCAGGGGCAATGCTCCAGGCTGGGATGTGGCAGCTTCGTTTGGGTTTCAAGCCAGAATTTCTCCCACGCAGCAGCCGCTCCCTCCAGGGCAGGGAGGAAGATGAGGAGGATGAGGAGGAGGAAGAGGAGGAGGAGGAAGGATTTGGGGCAGGGAGGAGGAGGAAGAGAAGGAAGTTTCGGTAGGCAGGAAGAAGGAGGAGGATGGGGCAGGGAGGAGGAGGAAGGTTCAGGGAGCAGGGAGGAGGCAGACAAGAAGGAAGAAGGATTGAGGCACAGGGAGGAGGAGGACGGGGCAGAGAGGGAGGAAGATGAAGGCTTGGGAACTAGAAGTAGGATTCGGGAGCAAGGAAGAGGATGAAGAATTGAGAAGCCGGGAGGAGAAGGAGGAAAGCTCAGGGCAGGGAAGAAGAGAATTAGGAAGAAGAGAGGATAGGGCAGGGAGGAGGATGAAGGCTCAGGGTGTGGAAGAGGAGGAGGAAGTTTTAGGGAGCAGGAAGGAGGAGAAAGCATCAGGGGGAGGAAGAGGAGGAGGAAGGATTAGGGAGAAAAGAGGAGGAAGATGAAGATTTGAGGAGCAGGCAGAGAGAAGGAGGATTGACGGGTAAGCGAGGAGGAGGAAGAAGGTTTGGGGAACAGGGAGGAGGAGGAAGAGGAGGAGGAGGAAGACGAAGGTTTGGGGAGCAGCAGGGGGTGCTCTCCTGACCTTGACCTGGTAGAGGCCTTCAGCCTCGGCACGGCTGCGGCCAGCGATGTCCTCGTACTGCGCCCGCACGTCCGCCAGGACTCCGGCCATGTCCAGCTGGCGGCTGTTGTCCATGGACACCACCACGGCCGTGTCCGACACCTGCGCCCGCAGCTCCTGCAGCTCCTGTGCACACGGGGGACGGCTTCAGCAGGGGGGCACCCCCGAATCCAGGCACCCCAAATCCCAGGCACCCCCAAACCTCCTCATAGAGCTGCCGCAGGAAGTTTATCTCGTCCGTGAGGCTCTCCAGGCGTGATTCCAGCTCCACCTTGGACATGTAGGCTTCATCCACATCCTGTGGGAATGCCGCTGTCACCCCCTGTTCCCAGCACCCCAGGGACCCCCCAGCAGGCCCTTGGTCTCAGGGACTCCCCACGTGTCGGGGTCCCCCCTCAGTGTCTGGGTTTCCCCACCTTTTTGAGCAGGACAAACTCGTTCTCCTTCTCTGTGCGGTGGTTGATCTCCTCCTCATACCTGGGCAGGACACAAGGAACGGGGGGAGACGAGCACACGGAGAAATGGGCATGGGGGACACGGGGACAGGGGGAATATGGGGATGGGACATGGGAATGGGGTGACATGGGGATGTGGGACTGGGGGACATGGGGACGGGGATATGGAGACAGTAGGGAGAGGACATGGTGACAGGGGGGACATGGGTATATGGGGACATTGGGACAGGGAGGGATATGAGGATGGGTGACAAGAGAACATGGGGACACAAGGAATGGGAGGACATGGGGAGGTGGGGACAGGGGGACAAAGGGACAAGGCGATGGGAGGATGTGGGGACACAGAGAGGGCTTGGACCAGGGATGTGGGGATATGAGGATACAGGGAGACCCAGGGACATGCTGGGGACATCGAGGGCCATGGGGACAGCGGGACACAGGGACGAAGGGACAAGGGGGTGAGGGCACACAGGATGGGGACACAGGGGTGTGTGAGGGAACACTCGGGGACACAGAGCGGCCTTGAATTCCTCCAGGAGGCTGCAGGCGTGGCCTGGGCGGCATCAGCAGCCACAGGGGGGCTACAAGGTGGCACTGGGGGGCTGTGGAGGGGTCTGGGGAGACACGGGGGTACCCGGGAGATTTGGGGGACATTTGGGGACACTGACTTGGCCTTGAACTCCTCGACGAGCCCCCGGACGTGGCCGAGCTCTGCGCGCAGCCGCTGCCGCTCCTGCCCGAGTCCCTCCAGCTGCCGCCGCAGGGTCCCCGCGTAGCCCTCGAGGAGCCCCCCCAGGCTGCTGCGGGGGGGGGGCTGCGCCCGCAGGAGCCCCCACTTGGTCTCCAGGAGTTTGTTCTGCTGCTCCAGGAACCGCACCTGCGGACGGGGAACAGCACCCCAAAACCAGCCAAAATCACCGCAAAATCACACCTGGGGGAAAGCAGGGTCAGGGGCACTCCCACACCTCAAAATCACCCCAAAATCCCCTCCACCCCCAAATCACACCTGGGGAAAAGGGGGTCAGGAGCACTCCCACACCCCAGAATCACCCGAAAACCACCCCACATCCCCAAATTACCCCAAAATCACCCCCGCACACCAAAATCACCCCAAAATCACCCCTACACCCCAAAATCACACTTGGGTGAAAGATGGATGGGGGGCACTCCCATAGCTCAAAATCACCCCAAAAACACCTCCTCTCCCAAGTTACACCTGGGGTGGAAAGGGAGTCAGAACCCCAAAATTACCCCAAATCTCCCCTAGGGCAACGGGTTGGGCTGGAGGGGGGCATGGAGGGGAGGCGAGGGGGCAGGGGGGAGATTTGGGGTCCTGAGCAAGCTGGAGTCTGCGTGTCCTTGGGGAACTCAGGAGGGGTCAGGGTGTTCCCAAGGGGGTGTCAGTGTCTCTGAGGGTCTCAGAAAGTCCCCAAAGGGGTCAAGGAGGTCCCAGCTGATGCAGGAGATCCCTTAAGGGTACCCGGAAGGGCTTCTCAGTGTCCCCAGGGGTCTCAGGAGGTCCCCAAAGGTGCTCGGGACGTCCCAGCTGAGACTCAGGGGGTCACAGAGAAGGTCTCAATGTCCCCCAAGGGTACAGGAAGTCCCCAGAGATGTTCAGGAGGTCTCAAGGTGGGTCTCAACGACCCCAGGTGTCCCAAGAGCTCCCAGAAGCCAGTCCCCAGGGTGGTCCCAACCCTCCTCGGGGTCCCCCCAGCCCCACCTTGTCAATGAAGGCGGCGAATTTATCGTTGAGGGTCTTGATCTGCTCCTTCTCCTCCCGGCGCAGCTCCTGCAGCTCGGGATCCACGGCCACGTCCAGCGGCGCCAGGAGACTCCGGTTGATGGTGACGGCCGTGATGCCCCCGCCCGCCCCCGGCACCCACGAGGGTCCCCCGAGCCCCCCGGAGCCGCCGCGGAGCCCCCCGTAGGGGCCGAGCGCCGGGGCCGTGCTCATCCTCAGCGCCGGGCCGGCCGTGAAGGAGCGGGACGAGAACGAGCGGCCCGGAACGGCCGAGCTGCTCCGCAGCGGCTGCCGGGGGATGGAGACCGACATCTGAGAGGGGAAGGTGGGAAAAGAGGTTGGAGGGAGCCTGGGAAGGGTTTGGGAGCTGGGAAAGGAGGTCGGCTGGAGGATGAGGGAGCTGGAGAAGATTGGGAGGAGGTTGGAAGTTGGGAAAGGAGATAGGAAAGAGGTTGGAAAGTGGATGAAGAAGGTCGGGGACGGTTGGGGAGGCTGAGGGGGATGAGGAGGCTGCAGAGAGGATGGAGAAAATTAGAAGGAGGATGAGGAGATTGGTGCGGAAGAGGGTTGGAGAAGGTCCTCAGCTGAGGAGGACGAGGACGACTGGAGGAGGCTGAGGACGGCTGGAAGAGGCTGAAGAGGCTCAGGAGGATGAGGACGGCTGGAGCAGGTTGGAGACGGCTGAGCAGGACGAGGCCGAAGGCCGCGCTCGGGGCAGGGAGGCTCCGGCGGCGGCCCCGGCAGGACCGGCCGGACGGGTCGGGGCAGGACGGGCCGGGCCGGGCGGAGCGGCCGGGCGGGTTCCGGGCGCGTTCCCGGTTTGGTTCCCGGGTTGGTTCTCGGGTTTACCCCAGAGCCGGGGGAGGAGAAGCGGGGGGAGGGACCGGAGCTTTAACCCCTTCGGGACATGGGATTCGCGGGATCACCGGGATCCACCGGATCACCGGGATCCGCCGGCACCGGGACGGGAGGGTACGCGGGGGTGGGCTTACCCAAAATGCGCGTCCCTGTGCTCCCCACCCCCCTCCGCGCCCCCTCCCGGAGGAGGAGACCCACCGACACTCTCTAGGGAGTGTCCCCAGCCCTGTCCCCACACCTGGGTCTCCCAGTCTGAGTCCCTGACTCCATGTCACCAAGTCCTGTCCACCCAGTTTGGGTCTCCCAACCCCCGACCCCAGTCCGGATCCCCCCAGCTTCAGCCCCCAAGCCCATGTCCCCAGCTTGTCCCCCATTCTGGATCTCCAGACCAGTGTCACCACCCTGTGTCCCCAGCACCACATCCTCAATCTGTGACCCCAAACTATTCCCCCAGCCCATGTCCCCAACCCCTGTCCCCCAGTCTTTGTCCCTGCCCATGTCCCCATCTTAGGATCCCAAACTATGTCCCCATGGCATGTCCCCAATCCCTGACCCCATACTTTGGTGGGGCACCAAACTGTGCCCCCAGCCCCATGTCCCTCAAGGCAGGACCCCAGCCCCTGTCCCCTGCCCTGTGTCGTCAGCCCATGTCCCCAGATCTGAGATCCCAAGCCCTGACCCCAGCCCTCCATCCCCAGCCCTGTTCCCAAATTACAGCCGAAACTTGTGTCCCCAAACTCCATTTCCCAGCCCCAAAACCCCAAGCCCTGTTTCCCCAACCTCTGACCCCCAGTCTTTGTCCCCAGCTTCACGTTCCCCAACCCCTGACCCCAGCCCATCCCCAAATCACAACATGGGACTCTGGCCACATCACTCCAAATCTGGCCCCAGACCTGGCCCCAGACCTCACCAGGGCCTGTCCCCAGTGCCAAACTCAGCAGCAAAATAGGGAAAACATCCCAAAAAAGGCATGGGATGCATGGATGGATGGATGGATGGATGGAGGTGAGTTCAGGTGAGTTCAGGTGTGTGCAGGTGGGTCTGACAGGTGCCAGTGTGTGCGGTGATGTCTCCAGCCCAGACCTGCCCGGCACGAGGACGGCACACGCTGGGCAAGTCAGCACTTGGGTTTGGGATCCTGGAGCTGGGATATAGAGGGAGGGAGCTTCCTTCCTTCCTTCCTTCCTTCTGCCCCTTCCTTCCTTCTGCCCCTTCCTTCCTTCTGCCCCTTCCTTCCTTCTGCCCCTTCCTTCCTTCTGCCCCTTCCTTCCTTCTGCCCCTTCCTTCCTTCTGCCCCTTCCTTCCTTCTGCCCCTTCCTTCCTTCTGCCCCTTCCTTCCTTCTGCCCCTTCCTTCCTTCTGCCCCTTCCTTCCTTCTGCCCCTTCCTTCCTTCTGCCCCTTCCTTCCTTCTGCCCCTTCCTTCCTTCTGCCCCTTCCTTCCTTCTGCCCCTTCCTTCCTTCTGCCCCTTCCTTCCTTCTGCCCCTTCCTTCCTTCTGCCCCTTCCTTCCTTCTGCCCCTTCCTTCCTTCTGCCCCTTCCTTCCTTCTGCCCCTTCCTTCCTTCTGCCCCTTCCTTCCTTCTGCCCCTTCCTTCCTTCTGCCCCTTCCTTCCTTCTGCCCCTTCCTTCCTTCTGCCCCTTCCTTCCTTCTGCCCCTTCCTTCCTTCTGCCCCTTCCTTCCTTCTGCCCCTTCCTTCCTTCTGCCCCTTCCTTCCTTCTGCCCCTTCCTTCCTTCCTTCCTTCCGCCACTTCCTTCCGCCACTTCCTTTCCTTCTTCTCCTTCCTTCTCAAATCTATTCTTTCTCAAATCCATCCAGATTCCACCTGGGGGTGGGGGGGGTCACATAGGTCTCAGCAGCCCAGCCCCACATGGAGGGTCTCAAGCGCCCCCAAACCTGTGACACCCGGGAGGGGACACAATCTGCTCCCCCTCCACCCCCCAGAGGCTCCCACCACCTCCTGCTCCCTCCCTAAATCCCGCCCGGCCCGTCTTATCAGGAAGGAATTTCCAGAGATAACCCCCGAAGGGGGGTAGGGTGGGTCCCAGACCCTGCAGGACACTCCCCCAGGCCCCCAAGACCACCGAGTCCCCCCGTGGAGCAGCGGGGACCCCCTAAACCCTTGACGGCCCCAGCTGACCCCCCTCGCCGTCAGATGGGGACACTGAGGCACGGAGGGACACGGGGGGAACAGGGGTGACCGTGAGGTGACGGGGGGGATGGGGGGGACTCGGGGGGATGCGACACGGGGGGATACCAGGTGGCACCAGAGGGACACACCGGGGGGACCTGGGGGGACACCGGGGGGTCACAGGAACGTGGGGGACATTTGGGGACTGGGGCACAAGCCGGGAGGGGGAACACGGGGGGGCGGGGGGACACGGGTGGGACACGTCACCCACCGGGAACGCCCGGAATGTTCCCGATAAGGCCCAGGGTGGGAGCAGCCCCGACACCCCCCCCTCCCCCCGCGCCCTTCAGGGGGTCCCAGGGGGTCCCCAAAGAGGGACGAGGCCGCTGGACCCCGGGCAGGACCCCCTGGGACCCTCGGGTCTGGCACCTCAGGGACCCCGCAGGGAAAATGGAGAAAAGGAGGGGAAAAGGGGGGAGAGCAGGCAGAACAGGATAAAATTTGGCATAAGTGGGGGAAAAAGGGGGGAAAACTGGGCAGGAATGGGGCAAAATGAGGAGAATTTAAGGGGGAGGAACGGGGCAAAGCAGAGAAAAACGTGGGGAAAAAGGGAAATGGGCGGAAAAGGGGAAGGAATGGGGGGAAATGGGCAGAAACAGCAAAAAAAAAAAAGGGGGAAAACCAGCAAAACTGGAGAGAGGTGGGGCAAAATCGGGCAAAAAGGGATAAATGGGACATGAGTGGGGTAAAACAGGGCAAGATCAGACAAAAAGGGTTAAAGTGGGACAAGAATGGGATAAAAATGACAAAATAGGGCAAAAAATGAGTGAAATGGGACAGGAATGGGGTAGAGACAACAAAATGGGGCAAAACAGCAAAATGGGAAGATTTTGCATAAATGGAGTAAAATAGAGCAAAAAGAGGCAGGAATGGGGAGAATGGGGAAAATGAGAAATGAGCAAAAAAGGGACAAAAAAAGATAAAGCAAGGGAGGGATGGGGCAAAAGTGGGCAAAAATTATTAAATGGGATATGAACAGGGCAAAATAGGGGAAAATGGAGCAAAACAGGGCAGGAATAGGGTAAAACAGGGGGTCTCAGGTCAGGCAGGGGCTGCAGCAGTGCAGAGTTCAGTAGGGTGATGTGGGGCTGGCTATGGGGACACGAAAATGTGTGGGGCTGACCCTGCCCCACGTCCCACAGTTCTGGGGCTGACTCCTATTCCTTCATCCCCCACCCCACAGTTATGGGGTCGATCCCGTCCTTCTGAACCCACACCCCACAGTTCTGGGTCATACCCCTTTTCACCCACCCCACACCCCACAAGTTTTGGGTTTGATTCCCTTTCCCCTGCCCTGCGTTCCCCAGTTCTGGGTCAGACTCCCAAACCTCTGCCTCACATCCCACGAGTTTTGGGGCTGATTCTTTTCCCTCACACCCCACTCCTCAAGTTTTGAGGCCGATCCCGGCAGGAACAAAGCCCTGGGCCGGCTCCAGCCGCACCTTCCCTTCCCGGGAGCGAGGCCGTGGGGAGGTGCCGTGGGGCCGCTCCCGGCTATAAATCCCGGCCAGAATTCCCGCCCGGAATTCCATCCGTGCGTCCGTCCGTGCGACTCTCGAGCTCCGGCCGTCGTGTCACCGACCCCATGAGCTTCTCCCGCCGCACCGTCTATTCCAGCTCCGTCCGCTCCGGCGGGATCGGGACCCTCGGGACCCCCGGGATCGTCCCCGGCCGCCGCTTCGCTCCCCTGGGCAGCGCCGCGAGCGTCTACGCGGGGGCGGGGGGCGCGGGGTCCCGGATCTCCGTCAGCCGCACCCTGAGCAGCGCCGGGGGGGCCTTTGGAGCCGGTTATGGGGCCGGTTATGGGGCCGGCCTGGGGGGCAGCGTCTTTCTGGGGGGCTCCGGGGCCGTGGCCAACGAGAAGGAGGCGATGCAGGACCTCAACGACCGCCTGGCCACGTACCTGGAGCAGGTGCGGAGCCTGGAGCGGGAGAACCGGCGCCTGGAGACCCAAATCCGGGAGTTTATGGCCCGAAAGGGACCCAGCGCCCACGACTGGAGCCCCCAGTGGGAGCTGATAGAGGAGCTACGGGACAAGGTGGGGGCGCGGGGGGGGGTCGGTGTTAAACATTAACGGGGGAGAACGGCAGGGTTTGGGATTGAAGTGCCAACGTGAATCCCGAACAGGGATTGAAGGGGAGGGGAAGAGCTGAACTTTGTGTCTCTGGGAGGTCTGTAAGCCCCTGGGGGGTGTAGGGGGGCTTGGGGGAGGTCTGTAAGTCCCCGTGGGTGGGGGGCGCTGGGCGGTTTTCCTCCCCGCGGGGGGAGCGAAGGGACGTGACCGAGGCCACCGCGGTGGGGCAGTGTCGAAGGAGCCCCCCCTCCATTCTTACCCCGATTTTTGTGTAAATTAGCCCCCCCAGTCCCCCCAAAGCCCCTCCTGGAGCCTCCTCAAGGTGACCGGCACCCCTCCCCC